CCCTTGTGACACTGCCCCCTTCTTATCCCACTGCCTTCCTCCTGTCCTGCTGCCCCCTAGTGACACTGCCCCCTTCTTATCCCACTGCCTTCCTCCTGTCCTGCTGCCCCCTTGTGACACTGCCCCCTTCTTATCCCGCTGCCTTCCTCCTGTCCTGCTGCCCCCTTGTGACACTGCCCCCTTCTTATCCCGCTGCCTTCCTCCTGTCCTGCTGCCCCCCTTCTGTCCCACTGCCCCCTTTTGCGATGCAGCCCCTCCACATGCTCCAAACTTTTTTAGCTGGCTCCTAGATTCAAAGCAAATTTGTCAAGCCCTTTTTTTTTTTTTATATAATTGTATTATATTCAACTTTTTAATTAATATGATGAATATGTATTAAAAAAATTACAATCCAGTAATGTAAAATAACTTCTGGAAACACTAAAATTGAACAGGAAATATATGTGTATATATATATATATATATTTTTTTTTTTTTTTTTTTTAAGTCAACAAGACACAATTTTGTATTGAAGTGAATGGGATGCAATTTTGTTTTGAAGTTATCATTAATCGGCAAAACCTTGATAACCCTATTGGCGGCTGATGTATCAGTGCATCACTAGTCTGTATTGCACACCTACGTTGGTCCAGCTTGGTACAATGTAAGTATTCATATCTCATACCTGAGGGGTCACTGGGTAAGCTGATAGTTAGTGTAGTAGTTCACGCTACTGCAGTGATAGCCACAATCTTCCTGGGGTTTCATTCAGGTTCTTGGCAAACTGCTTCCCCCGTATACTGACCACGGGGGAAAGGGGGGGTTACTTGCTCAGAACTGCTACCATTCATATAATGTGTTGTATTTTTTTAATGAGCACAAGGTGTTCTCTGATTGGACAAGACGGAGTGCACAGGCAGTGACATCATGATATCCACCTTGTCCAATCAGGGAATGCCTTTTGTTCATTAAAAAGTTACAAGATGTAATTCCTTCTTATTAGTACTTAAAGCAGAACTATTTTCTATTGACTATTTTAATCCTTATGCTGCTAGCATTAGTAAATAGATAAGAAAGAATAAATGTATTTACTTGTTTTAAACGTTTTTTTTACATCTCTTCAGTAACTTCCTGGTTTCCATGCCTAGGATGCCAAGGCAAATGATGTTATACATATCAGCAGTTTTAGGAGGGGAGGAGGGATTTTCTCAGCTAAGCACACCCTCCTGCCTGCATGTCTGATCTAAGGGCAGATGGATTCCAGGAAGTAAATGCTACATGAATAATCTACCCTTACTCAAGATGGCCACAGCCAGAAATGCCAGGGGGTGTTTTTCAAAGTGATTTCTCAACAAAATAAAAGAATGGAGACATGGATGGATGGGAGAGTTTGCTTTGAACATTACACAACGTGTACACCCTAACTAAATTATATCTAGTTTGCATTGTGTACTTTATATCTAAACAAATACCATTTTTTTGGCCCCTTTCGACCACCTATCTACATGCACTTACCCCAGAGGGAGTTACAAGATATTTTTCAGGGTGGACTTTCTGATGATTACAACAGTGGACCTTACCTGTGTCAGCATGGCCCCTTGTAGGGTCTACCAAAGGTCCACATGACAGGGTGGCAATGTAGGAGCACAGATGGGAGACAGGGATAAGTAGAAGTATATAGGAAGTACCTAAATAAGGGCCTTCTTGGCAGAATCACCAGGTATTATTTTATAAAAAAAACTATCTAAAAATACTGACAAATTTTTGAGACAACATCAACATTTTAAAGAATATATGGGACTTTAGTGATTGGGTTTAAATGTTACCCAAGACTGTGCTTTTCTGTGCAAGTCTACAGGTCAGAATTGACTTGACTGAAAAACAGCAGAACCCAAAGTCTGGGTGCACACAAGTAATTTTCGCCATAGGGATCATCATCCACGATCATGCCACTATTAATTTCTAGCAATTGCTAGGAGTGCAACATGTAGTGGCAATTTATCACTAATAGTAGAACAATGCTTCAATTCTGGGAGATGGATCACTACTACATGCAATCACATGTGTAGAGATTGCCAAAATAAATTTGTGGGACGATTTTCGGTGATGATTGCTAAATAGCAAAAATCTTAGGCTTATAATGCTAACTAAGCTTCTCAACAGACTTTAAAAAAAAAAAAAAAAAAAAAAGAAGACCTAGGGGGTGAAGGCTGTGCTCAAAAACCAGTCACCAGTCCTGTGGTCTTCCTGCAGCCGATTCTCATTACCAACTTACAATGCCTTGTTTCACCCTGTGTCTGTGTGGAGGCAGTCGTCTTGGTAAAGGTAGGGTTTTGCTTCCTCATGTCAAAGCACATTACTAGTAATTGGATAACCAATGACGGAAAAATATAGATGCAGTAGGAAAGGTGCAGAAAGCACAAATACATATAATGAATAAAGTAGAAGCAGGGAGATCCTTGCATCACAGGTCTACAGGTACAGCTTTCTCCCCATCCAGGAGAACAAAGTACTGATATCATGAAATCTGAGGAGACTAGCAGGTACAGACAGTGCATTAAACTGGGTACACACTGGGAAATTTTTTTTTCATTAAACCAGAGGGTTAAATGAAAAAAAAAAAAAAAAAAAAAAAACACCTCACAGATCTTTGCATCCACACAAGCCATGTGGATGCAAGGATCTCCCCCACTGCGCTATTGTATTCTGACAGCAGGAATTCACCCCCCCTCCCTACTGTCAGAATACAGTAATCAACCAATGGCTGCAGTGGCTGATTGAATGCTAGTTTTCCAGCAGGTCCGGTCAACAAAAAAAGTAGGTCTAACGACAGCTTCTGTTGAACAGATAGGGGTAAACAAGGATCAAAATGCAGTCAGTTCCTTCTGAACTGGCCAACATTCGGCACATGTATACCCAAGCTTTAGAACTGACACTACACATATGCAGTTATGAGGGTGGGACTGCCTAGGCAATGGAAGCACTCTGGTATTTTTCAGGAGGAATTCCAAGAAAAAAAAAAAAAAAAAAAAAGTACATTTGGGGTACTCCTTAGGCACAATTACATCTTCTAGAGGTTTCCTATAACAGCAAATACTCACTTGTTGAGTTCATGTGCATTTTAAGCTGTGATAACCACATTCCCCAATACAAAGGGGGGTGAATAGAGGTATCTTTTACAATTGTGTATGCATATTGTATAAAATAGAATAGCTCAAGTCAACAAAAATGACAGGTAACGTTCAGTTCACACTTGTGGGCTTGGTTGCGGGTATCGCACCTGTTCCCGCATCGCACTGCTCTTGCGAGACGCATTCTGAATGGAACCCCCATGCATCTCAGTGCGTTTGTGGGTGCGGGAATCACAATGTAACCCTTTGTAACCCTTGCAGACGGTTTGTTTTTTTTTATGTAAAAGGTGCATGCACCTTTTTCCTGCAGGAAGAGAAAATGTCACCAGTACACCAAGGATCACCAATATGGGTCCAAACTTTTTCCTGCAGGAAGAGAAAGTGTCACCAGCACACCAAGGATCACCAATATGGGTCCAAAAGATTTAATGAACGTTTTGGAGTCTCGCAGGACCCCTTCATCAGGCCACATGCCCTGCGATACTCCAAAACGTTGCCTTGCTGTAACTATGTGATCGTTCATTAAATCTTTTGGACCCATATAGGTGATCCTTGGTGGGCTGGTGACATTTTCCCTTGCTGATTCTGTTCAGTTCAAGCCGACAATCGCTGCAGCACCCACTTATACACAGCCATTTTTAACGCAGGAACGTGTGCGTTTTGATTGTACAAATTTTTCCTACAGGAAACGTGGAACAGCAGCCTATTCAACTGAATAGGCTGCTGTGCCCGAGCAAACGTGGGCTGCAGGGCCTGCAACAGTGTGAACTGAGCCTTAGGCCTCATTCATTTGGGTGCAGATGCCTGTTCACCATGAAAAGAATAATTTGTTTTTGCATCTGCCTTTGTTACTGAATGGAGATGCAGCAGCTGTAGACTCAGCTACAGAGCCAGTTTTGACAGGTGTACATGTGCGTGGCCCCTAGTGCAGACTGTATGCATTTGGGGCCACACACCCAACCCTGCACGCCTGACAAACTTGGTTGCATGGGTGAGTCCGTACAGCAGCTCCATGTTTATTCATTGACAAAGGTTGCTTGCATGCAGCTCCAGGTGGCTCCGAGTGCATAAAGAAATGCCTCATTCATGGTGTACTGGCCTCTGCGCCCGTGTGAATGAGGTCTGAATGTTACGATAACTCCTCAAAACAAGACTTAAAATACATGCTAATTTTCCACTAAAAACAAATTCCTTTCTATTGAAGTCCCTGGTTTTCTTTCAGTGTTGCAACAGTCACTATACTGGAATATGTACGTATACATTTTTTATGCTTTCCAACTTACTACAATAACCATGGTCACTTTTTCTATGAAAAACACATTTCTTATAAATAAATTTGATCAATTTGAACTATTTACACAGGAAGATAAAAATGAAGGTACACCCATTTTTTTTTTTTTTTTTGTTTTTTTACAAGGCAACATGCAAAGGGGAAACAAAGCACGCTGGTCCTTGTGTAGGCAAGTCAGTGAGAACGTCTATGTTCTATTGAGGCCTCTGTGTCCAGTACACTAGTAGAATATTGAGACCTACAGGACAGGCAACATGATCTCATAATTCGTTCATTACAGTCTCTCCTGCCTGAACACATTTTTAAACTCCAAAACAAAAAAGTTAAATATGGCAGCTTTTCCAGTTTTTAGATGTGGTGGCTGCAGTAATCATCTACTTTTTTAGGCTTTATTCCTTTAATTTCACCTTTTGAACCTAGGATGTTCTCTTGATTTGGATTTTAAAAAGGACACTGGGTTTCCGATGGGATCTATGGGAAGTTTTCGATACTTGCATAAAATGTTCTTCGCCTGAAAAGAAGAAAAGTAAACGCAGTCACGTCTAAGGAATGTTAAAGCAGCTCTAGATGACATTTTGGTTCTTGGGTTTACATATACTTCAAATAGATTTTCTCCTCACTCTGAAATGATCTGTGTAATGCTGGTTGTCAGGTGAAAAAATGCTGTTGGGCGAGGAGAAACCAGTGTTATCTCGAGTGCTTAGTGAAATTTCATCAATTTTGTAAGAGATTGAGTTGTAGTAAACTGGGTTTGTGTGGCAGCTCAGTGCTTCATGATGAGATATGGATGGACTGTTACAGAATGGGGATCTGTAACACATACATGCGCAAAATGAACCAGCTCTAGAGGTTGCATTTGAAGATCTTCGTCTGCCCCGGTCATTGTCATCCTGCATGAGAGGTATGAGGTTCATCTGGCTTGTAGCATCTCCTATAGGAAGAAAAATGGAGCTTCGACTTCTGGCATCCATTTTTGATTGAAGACCGATGGTGTTCTGTGCTCTCCGTAAGGAAGCCCTTTCTTCTGCATCCCGTCTTTCATCTTCAGAGTTCATGGTCAGAAAGCGGAGGACTACCAAGTTAAGGAAAGCGCCTATAACAGTCAGACCCACAAGAATATACATGAAGCTAAATGCTACATAGGGTGGTTTCTTCTGCAACGCCTCATTCTTCTGGAGGGCAACAAAGTCTCCAAATCCAATGGTTGTAAGAGTAATAAAACAGTAATAATAAGAGTGGAAAAATGTCCATCCTTCAAAATAGGAGAAGGCAGCTGCTCCAATGCCAAGTGTACCAATGCAAGACAGGAAGCCCACCATGACCATATTTTCCATTGACACCTCAGTCTTCCTCATGTGAAAACATTTTTTAAGCTTCTTTAATAAGAACCTGACAAATGTGTTCATGCGTTCACCCAGACTTTGGAACATGACCAGGGTTAGTGGAATCCCAAGGACTGCATAGAACATGCAGAAGACTTTTCCAGCATCAGTACCAGGAGCAGCATGACCATACCCTGGAAGAGAACACAGAAAGCCGTGATGAGACATCATGGTAGATTTAGAGCATGATGACCAAGGTCTTAAAGGAGTTTTTAAGGGATTGTTTATGTAAAGTCTAACTCCAACAAATTATTTTTTTTTAGTTTTGACTAGATCAAGAAAGGGTTACAACAATAAAAACTTTATTGGGTTTATATTCCCTTCAAAACAACATACTCAACGAGGCACTGGGAACTTTTAGATTTGCACTCAAAACTTCAAACAATTTCAAAAGCTCTGGCAAAGCGGCTCCCCCACACCAAGGCTTTTCTCCATGGACACCTAATTCAACAGTATAAACAGTCCAACTGGGGAGGCTCACCTGACCAGAAACACTCACAGAACTACAGTGAAGAAACAGTGGTAAGAAGACTCAGTAATGCCGACAGTATCTGCCATAAGGAGCAAAGTGCAGCCTGACCTATCCAACCCAAAAGGGGACTGTTCCTAAGAAAGTACACGTGGTCCCTGGTCTTTCCGTAATCCTCCCGAACCTCTCCCTTTCACTAGCACTGTCCCTGCCGGATAGGGAACCTGTCTCATCTCTAGCTACTCGCATAAAGCGCACTAAAACCATGAGTCAGAGTCCTAAATAGCCTCTGCTTGACCTAATATGGCTGCCCAGGTCACATGGGACCAGAGCATCCAACTGGATCACGGTCCTATGTAACTGAGGAAGCCATAGAAAAACTCTGTTTCCCTCCACTTCCTCTCCTATCTGCATTGCTGCTATGGTCCGGCACCACCTGCAGTAGACAATACAGACTGCACCTGCCTACATACAGTTACTTGGGTGGATATCCCCTTTAAACTGTTTAGATGAGGTTTTTTGCAAATAGCTAAATTTCATACTAAGAAAAAAAAAAACGAATGAAAAGGACTAGTAAACAGAGCAAAGGCCCTTTTAGTCACTTGCTTTACAAAAGTAGATTATATTTTCTACCCCATAAAGGCCATTTACACCACCTGCCTTGGGTTGCATTGCTCAATGCCTTGTGTTGGTGTACACTGGAAAAAAAAAATAGAAAATGCAACAAGCAAAAACAAAGACAATGCAACAAAAAAAAAAAAAGAAAGAAAAAGTCCCAAAAAAACTCCCATCAACATGCTGTAACCCAAAAAAAAAAAAACAAAACAAACAAACAAAAAAAAAAAAACCACACGTATTTTATGTGTTGACACAAGGACTACGGTGTGACTGAGCCCTGTTTCTCTGCTTCTGTAATCACAATACTGCTCATCTATGAAAGTCCCCTGACCACAAGCTGCCAGACATCTTCAGCGTGTTGTGAAATTGGCAAATTCCTCTAAGCCAGCCAAATGTTCAACGTCTGCATAGATTTTGTCAAAGTACCTTACAGAAATCTTGCATCATAACCCAAAATAAACAGATTAGCTTTAGAATATTGCTGGCAAGGAAGTCACATATAAAATGTGCCAATAATGAGCTCTACACATAGCCCCCATGTGTTTCCTTGCAGACCAAACTTTGAATTCCCAGAGCCCCGACTGAAACCTGCTGCCGAGAACAAATCGGATTTCAAAACCTATAAACATACATTCACGTTCTTGCTATTTATAGACCATTAGTAAGCAGGTGTGAAACCAATTTCTCAGCACTTGATTTTTTTCATTCCTGTAATTACGAAACTAGATGATTTAGGAGTACTGAAGGGATCCTTTTAAATCCTTGCCAGACTTATAAATGCTACCACCAATGCCATAAATAATGTGGTGTAAAGTATTGGGCCAGCCCTCCAAATCATGTGATTCAGGTGTTCCAATCACCTCCATGGCCACAGGTGTATACAATCAAGCCCCTAGGCATGCAGACTGCTTCTACAAACATTTGTGAAAGAATGGGTCGCTCTCAGGAGCTCAGTGAATTCAAACATGGTACCGTGATAGGTTGTCACCTGTGCAATAAGTCCATCCATGACATTTCCTTGCTACTAAATATTCCACGCTCAACTGTTAGTGGTATTATAACAACGTGGAAGCAACTGGGAACAACAGCAGTTCAGCCACCAAGTGGTAGGCTACGTAAAATGACAGAGCAGGGTCAATGCATGCTAAAGCACAGAGTGTGCAGAAGTCACCAACTGTCTGCAGAGACCATAGCTAAAGATCTCAGAACTTCATGTGGCCTTCAGATTAGCACAACAGTGCGTAGAGAGCTTCACGGAATGGGTTTCCATGGCCGAGCAGCTGCATCCAAGCCTTACAAATCGCCAAGCACAATGCAAAGCATCAGTGAAGTGGTGTAAAGCACGCCGCCACTGGACTCTAGAGCAGTGGAGACGTGTTCTCTGGAGTGATGAATCACACACTTCTCTGTCTAGCAATCCGATGGACCTGTCTGGGTTTGGCAGTTGCCAGGAGAATGGTAATTGCCTGACTGCATTGTGCCAAGTGTAAAGTTTGCTGGAGGGGGGGATTATGATGTGGGGTTGTTTTCAGGGTTGTGCTTGGCCCTTTAGTTCCAGTGAAGGGAACACTTAAGGCGTCAGCATATAAAGTAATTTTGGACAATTTCATGCCCCCAACCTTGTGGGAACAGTTTGAGGATGTCCTCCACCTGTTCCAACATGACTGCGCACCAGTGCACAAAGCAAGGCCCATAAAGACATGGATGAGTGAGTTTGGGGTGGAGGAACTTGACTGACCTGCACACAGCCCTGACCTCAACCAGATAGAACACCTTTAGGATGAATTAGAGTGGAGACTGCGAGCCAGACCTTCTTGACCAACATCAGTGCCTGACCTCACAAATGCACTTCTGGAAGAATGGTCAAACATTCCCATAGACACCCTCCTAAACCTTGTGGACGGCCTTCCCAGAAGAGTTGAAGCTGTTATAGCTGCAAAGGGTGGGCCAACCCAATATTAAACCCTACGGAGTAAGACTGGGATGCCATTAAAGTCCATGTGCGTGTAAAGGCAGACCGACCAATACTTTTGGCAATATAGTATATTTGCAGTATTGGTGTTAAATCCTAAGATATTGTTTTAAATGTGTAATGCTATCATATCTGGAAAGCAGCTGTAGATGTCCAGCATTTGTGTGGATGGTAGCGGTAGATGTTTGAGGAAGCACTACACCACTGGTCTCCAAACTGTGGCCCAGGGGTCAGATGTGGCCCTTTGCCTGCTTTATCTGGCCCTTGAGGCACTATTTCATCAACTGATGCCAACAATTGGGCACAATTGCCTCAAGTGACACCAACGAAGGGGCACGATTCCACCCAATGACACCAACGATGTGGCACAGTTCCTACCAATGACATCAAGGATGGGGCACAATATCTCCCAATCACACAACTCAATTCTTCCCAATGAAGGGGCACAATTGCTCTCAGTGACACCAATGATGGAACACAATATCTCCCAATGACATTCAACAAAACTCAATGACCCCAATGATGGGGCTCAATTCCTCCCAATGACACCAATGATGGGACACAGTATCTCCCAATGGCATATAACAAGACACAATGACCTCAATGATGGGGCTCAATTCCTCCCACTCCATCACAGTACAACATTTGAATTCACTGAGCTCCTGAGCGACCCATTCTTTCACAAATATTTGTAGAAGCAGTCTGCATGCCTAGGTGCTTGATTTTATACACCTGTGGTCATGGAGGTGATTGGAACACTGAATCACATGATTTGGAGGGGTGTCCCAATACTTTTGGCAATATAGTGTATTCACAACCACCATTGAACACCAGGAAGCATGCAACATGCCAGCTTCAATGGTTATTGGTCAATTTTATTGTACTAGTTTTTAAAACTGAGGTTTTATATCCATTTTCAATCTCTCTCATTCTCTCTTTATACAAATCAGAGTTTAATACAATGAGTGCACACTCACAATAACCATAGGCTAAACCAGTGGTGTACATAAACCCAGGTGGCAAGGTGGTCCTATTGGAGATGGAACTCGAACAATCTCAACATCAGACTTGCCAGCTCACATGTTTCAAGGGACAAATCTTTTTCTTCAGAGTAAATCTTGTCCCCGACTCCTGGCCTGTCCCTTGAAATGAGTCAACTGGTAAGTCTGATTGGGGGTCGTGCAAGTTCCATCTCCAATAGCACCCCCTTGCCACCTCGGTTTATATACATCGCTGATTTAGCTTACGGTTATTGTAAGTATGTACATGCTGTGTTTACTTTTGCATAAAAGACTGTTGGTAATCTGCTAGGCCCTTGTTATTCTAAGATTCTCCAGTCTGAAGAGGGCAGAAATGGTGCAGCCTATCAGCCTTCAATGGGATCTGATATCAGGATGGTCCTCTATTTCAATCCTTTGGGTTCTCCGTAATCTCTTATCGCTATTGGTGTCAACTGTGCATATACTTTGGAGTGTGAACATTTTTCATTGATTTAAAACCAAATTTACTGAATTTGGCCACTAGGTGGCACTACGAATCATAGGAAAAAATTATACTCAGCCCCATCTAGTGGCCAAATGCATTATTTTCGGTTTTAAATCAATGAAAAACATTTTACCAGCAGAGGAAGTTGCCTAATACTAGCATTCCTTTTTTTGCCCCATTCGCACAGAACATACATAAATAAATATTCTTATACCACACCACTTAATGTTATAAAAGGAACAGATTTTATCAAATATATATATAGTTTTTTAATTTGCAAAGTTGTTTTAAAATACATTGGGGGGGGATTTACTAAAACTGGAGCACTCAGAATCCATGCAGCTGTGCATGGTAGCCAATCAGCTTCTAACTTCAGCTGGTTCAAGTAAGCTTTGTGTCAGGCCCCGCCCAAAGGGATCTCTAGTGGTCCACAGCACGGGATTCCCCAGGACGCGGAGTCTAAGTCCCAGTCTGCCTTTTCACCAGAGCCCCTGATGGTGGGGATGGACTTGGTGCAAGACTGGAACCAGGTTGCGTCCCTGGGCGCACCCAGCTATGGTAGAGGGGACCCGCTGAGGGTATATGCCCGGGATGAGCCTGCTGTGAAGG